GAGTCCTTTTAGGATACCAGAACAAAATGTCTGTGCAGTTCATTAGCAGATGTGATTTCAGCTGGTTGTAGTTAGTGTACACAGTAATGATACAGCTAAAACATCACAGAACTAATGTCAAATTATTCTTTCAGCTGGTGTGTTCTGTGCAATTGTTTCCCATCCTGCTGACTCCGTGGTGTCTGTGTTGAACAAAGAAAAGGGCAGCTCTGCTTCACAGGTTCTTATGAGGCTTGGATTCAAAGGTACATCCTTATTTTCATGTATTTTGGATCAAGTGTTTGTGGTGTTTTAGGGAAGATTTCTATTTTAGCTGTCATTTTATGCTACTCATGCTTCATGTTTTGCTCTGCAGGTGTATGGAAAGGCCTGTTTGCTCGTATCATTATGATTGGTACCCTGACTGCACTACAGTGGTTCATCTACGATTCTGTCAAGGTTTATTTCAGACTTCCTCGCCCACCTCCACCTGAAATGCCAGAATCTCTGAAGAAGAAGCTTGGTCTAACTGAATAGACAACTCATGGACTGACTGCTGGCTGTCCCAGTGATGAGTTTCATGAAACTTTTATATATTTGACTATGTAGAAAACAAACTCTATATGATGTCATTATTGGCTGTGCCCTCATCTCATGTGAGGGCTTAAATTCTACCGCTGTCATTGCCTGAAATAAATGAGAAACAGAGTCATTAGTGTCTGTTTACTACTGCATATGTAAGCTTCATTTCATAGCAGCAAATATGTCAAATACTCTCCCTGCTTTACTCTCTCCCCCAAAAAGAGTTAAAAAAAATTACTCTGTTCTACACATTAGGAATTGGAGAAGTGTTACTCTTCCACTTGTAACAAAACTAGACTTTCACTGTTTCCAGAGAAGTGCCAAAACATGTCCTTGTGGAACTGCAGAAACAAACTGCAGTCTTGTGCACTTTGAGTCCACTGATCATTTGCCTTTAATAAGCTGTTACTGTAGAATAGTTGAACTCCTGAGTGGCTGAGACTGCAGTCTGATAGGGCATCCTGGTCATAATACTGGTGTTCCCCACAGAGATAAAAAGAACCTTATACATCCCAAAGCTGTTTCTGCCTTGGGATGGTCATCCCAACTTAATTAACTTATGCTTACTTGACTAATTTTTGCTTCTCTTGGCTTTGAACCACACCAAAGAACTTGGTCCTTCTGGTTGTCCTGTGGAATTAAATGATAGCTGCTACCTCTTTAACTAAAGAAAAGCTGATGCTCATAAAGATTTTCAAATATATCTGACCACTGAAAGCTTAATTCAGCTTTCCAATAAGATAAAAATGACTTGTCTTTTACTTGAGAGTTGGAAAAACTTGCCAGCTTTTCCTTCCATTTGCTATGGCTGTAGTTTTTTGTTTATTTTTTTCCTGAATTAGTTTAGTGCTGAGTTTTGGTTGAACCATGCACTTCTGCAGGGGAAGGAGTCATACCAATTTTTTTTTTTTTTTTGGACCCTGATGTGAACAAATCTAGATTCCTAGGCATGCAAGAGGAGACAATCATGGAGTCTTTTACTGAAGGATAATAATGCTGCCTTCTGCATTTCTCTTGTTCAGTAACCCACAGTTGATAATCACTTCAACCTCTCCAGTACTACTTTGTTGACATAGTAGAACTGGAGCTGAAATTTCTTTTGTGCAAAACTGTGGATATGCTGTCTTACATCATGTGAGCTGATGATACTGAACTTACCTTGGCACTCACATATATTGTGCTGTTCCTTCTTCTTTACTTGGTTCCTTCAGAGCCAAAAGGACAATTAAGGCAGGTGCTATTGGAATAGCATAAATACACTGACTGCTGCCTCTTGTGGAGTCCTATGTGCCTCCTATTGTCTTGCGTAGTATCAAGCTTCTTTCTCCCTAGGAAAACTCTCCAATTTCCAAGATTTTGGTGATTATGCTGAACAAGAAAACTAGGCCTTATTTTGAATTGTTGCCTTTTGGAATGTGGAATAAAATCTAAAACTTCTCCATTTCACTGTCACCAGGACAGTAATAAAGGCACTCAGAGTGGCTGGTATCTTAACTGCATTACACAGTGAAGTCAAATACCCTACATCTAAACAAAACATTTGGTGTTGAATTACAATTGTTTAATGATAAAAGTATGTAAATCTTGTTTCCCCATAGTGAGTAGGAAGCTTTGAAGTTATTTAATGAGTCATTAAATGCTTCTAAGAGCTTTCCTGGAGAAGAGCCTTTAGTATGACTTGATCTTGTTGCAAGACCATAGATGTTAAATTGTCTTTTGAATTTAACTTGTGTGTGTGATGCAACTTATTAGAAAAAAAACAGTATCACTTTTTTTGACTGAATATCAGTTTCTTTAAAAGCATGTTTTAACTCAGTAGATATTGCTTTGCTGTAAAACATCTCAAGTTCCTTCTAATTCTGGGGAAGCACTTCTGTCAAATTTTAAGGCTGGCAGAGTGAGACAAGCTTAGCTCATGCAGTGAGGTAGCCTGATTGTCAAGCAATCCAATGCTGAGCTAAATTTCACAAGGCTGCTTCTTGTCATTCTATATGTTGAGCAAAGTCGCACAATTTTCCCTAGAATAGGGTCAACATTGCGCAGTTGTTTTGCGTAGTAACAGGAGAATCTTAAGTCCGTTTTCTCATTGCTCAAGGGTAAACCTGAAACTATCCTTTTAAAGATGCTCAGATTTATCAAGGTAGATCTGAGATTACAAGGAGCGGCCATCAGTTCCTCTTCTGTAACTGAGAAAGGGAAAATATGCTTAGTGCTCATTGCAGTGTTGTGTTTCAGTGGAAAATCTAAGAGGGGGAGAGAATTGCCTTGCAGGTGCTGGCTTCATTGATATTCAGCCACAGGCTTGTTCAGATGCTTGTTTAGAAAGGGCTTGACATACAAAATGTTTCTTAAAGGGTCACCTGCTGATATTATTAAATAAGCTTCAGTGGGAAAAATGTAGTATTAATATGCATTTAAAAGGTCAACTTTGTCATTGATAACTGCTTTGTGCATAATGCCTGGTATGTTTTCCGAAGCCTGGGAAGCTGGGGCATGGGAGCAGCAGTGCTTTTGATGGACTTGCTCTTCCATTGCAGGGCAAGTCCTGTATCGAAAAGGAGCACTCCATTTTGAACTTTGATAACTCCAGACCCATCACTGAACCCCAAAGTGCTTTGTAAAACATGGATTATGTATGTGCTGCTTGTGTATATTTTATGAAGGAGAAAACATCCTTTCTTGCTGGTTTTGGAGCTGAGAAGAGCTTTCTGGTTTAAAGCATATAGTTATATAAATTTGGAATAACAACTCTATTCACACACAGTGTTTGTATCAGGTTGTACTACAGATCAAATGTGCTGATACTTGCTGAAATGTTTGTTGCATATCATTTTAAAATGGGCTGTAATAATACAAATAGTTGTAATTACTTTACATTTCTATATAGAAATTATGTAGTTCACAGTGAAAACAATAAACATCCTGCTTTTTTATAGCAAATACGAGTACCTTGGGGAGATGAGCTTAGTAACTACGTGGCTTTGTTATAGAATACGATTTTTGTAACTCCCAAGTGATGAGGAGGAAGATGTTACTAGCAGGAAATTCTTGGCTCAGCAGGTGTTCTCATGTCTAAAAGTAGATTTTAATGTTTTGGGATTACTTTGCTCGTGTAATTTTTCCTTGTTGATTACTTAATGCTGTTGCTGGCTTTTGGGTTGTTTTTCTCCTTGCAGGTTGCTGACAAGAATATTAATTGACCAGTTTTGTACCTACAAACTAAATTAAAAGCAAATATCTCCTGAATGTCACTACAGGTTGGGCTCCATGGGATGATCTGTTTTAAGTACCATAGCTGTAATTTTCATTATTATCTGAATCTTTCGATCACTTGGTAAGATTGGAGAGAGTATCTTTGAGTGACCCTAGAAATGAACTAAGTAAGGGGTTGTAGTTTTCCTGAGCTGATAACTCTTCCCCACCACTGATAGTACTAAAAATAAGGTGAGTTTAGTAGTCTGCTTCAAATTTTTGAAAAATACTTCATTCTCTGCCTCACCTTTTCTACTGTAGGAGGAGCTTTGCCTCTGTCCTTAGAGCAGTGTAATTGCAAAACTACTTTTTTTGGTACAATGGAGGTGTGTGATTGAATGGCAAATGGAGATTTGTAATACCTGTGCAGATTATAGGAGAATTACTGATTGCTCTCCATATATATGAGGACAATATGTGGGTGTGCCAACCTTAGATCGAGATACTTTTAAAATATTTTTTCCAAGTAATGTTTATGACTTAAATTATTTCTCTTCCTTGCAACAGGAAAGGTTTCTGAAAGGATCATAATGCTTTAGACCTGCACTTTCTGGGTGGTCTGCATACATCTAAAGGGAAAGGGGAATTAATGGTCTTGTAACATTTTTTGCATGCTGAACTCACTGTAGAGACCATGCACAAGGCTGTCTTACTCTGCTTTTTCCTGGTAGATGTGTTCTAGAATTTGGAGGTTATTCATTTGGGGGTTGAAAGTGAAATCCACAGTTGTTTATCCTGGCTTATTTTCTGGTTAATATTCCAAGGAGAGAGTGCTCTTTTCATGCAGACAGACCTCTGTTGTGTCAAGACTGCTCTGATTAACTGTGCAGCTGGAGCGTATTTTCCACATCACTTGTGTAGATAGAACTCTGCTGGTTGTCCAGTACTGCCTTTCCAGATTTTTACTGGCTACTGACCACAAATGATGCATTCATAACATTGAAAACAAAATAAATGAAATCTCTGTAGCCCATGATGCTGTTAATCCACTGGTAACTGAACTGCATCATATGGGTCACAGTGAAAGACATGCAGGGTGCATTTCTCACTCCGCTGTATCCGTGTTCCTTTTGTACCCACGTCTGTTGTGCCAGGTGCTCTTGATGCAATGTGAGCTTGCACACTAAAATAACCAAAATGGAGTTGGTGGATTCAGTGAAGAGCAGGCTTTAATATACAGATCGGATACATTTATTATGTAATCCTCAAACCCTTATGGTGTATGTGCATATATATTTTTTGAGGTATACACAACACATTCTTTAGCATGGCTGACCATTCTGGCTGTTGATTTTTCTGTCTCCTTTAAACGCCAATGGGTTATTTTTAGGGGATCACTTAAGAATTGTGAGAAAGAGCAAAGGGACAGAAGTTGCTAAAGGGATGTGAAAGCATTGTGGACGCATGACAGATGTATTTTTGTGGCCTGTCAGGTGGACTGGAAAGGGGGAAAAAAAAATGCGAGGGAGCAATAGACTTTTACCAAAAAGAGGAAGATTTTAAACAAAGTATTTGAGGTTGACTGAGGGTGATGAAGGGGTAGGGAAGACCAGCAATATGAAGCTGACCAAAAGACATGGAATGCTGAATGAAGATGAGAATGGTGAGGGAGAGGAAAGGTTTTATCTTTCATTCAATCAAGAGTCTAGTAGCTGCAAGATGTTCAGGTATGACCAACTAAATAATTGAGAAGTTATAAAGGCCTTACCATATACATGCACTTCTTGATATAATTCAATTTACAGGGATTTTCTGAGTTGCTGTATTGTTCCTAATGGGTTTTTATAGTAATTTTTATTCCTGTTTAATGCACTTCCATCCCCCAGCCTTCATCTGCTAAACCCATTCTCACTATGTTGTTACTTCAGTCTACTGCCTACATTTTCAGATGTCCCAGATCTCTTGTTCTTCAGCACAGAAATACTGCCAGTGGCTTAGACCAGTCTAGCCTTTTGGGATTAAGTAGCTTCTCTTTGCAATTCTGCTGCTCACCACAGTATTTTGCAAACTAAGAAATAATGAATGAATAACACTGTTAGGATTCCTGAACAGACACTGTGACACTGGGATAAAGCCATCAGCAGGGTTAGTAGGTCTTTCAGAGCATTGTCCCTATAGAGAGTTCTGCATTTTAAAGATGAACGGTGCTGCACAGTAATTACGATTTACAATTATAAAGCCTCACACAAAACCTTATACAAGTTACTCTGTCTAATTGTGTAAGGAACTTTTTGCAAGGCATCAGCAATATTTTTGGGCATTGCTTGCTTCACTGCTTTTACCTCATTAAATGTTATTAATAAAGAAACCACTTTAGTTTACAAAAATCATAGACTGAATATATGGAGACAAATTGCTGTTTGACTAACTCTTGTTTCACTGGAAGCCACAATTTTATTTCCTTTTCTTTGGAGCAGGAAAGGAAAACTGACATCTGTCAGTCTTGTGTCCTGCTTTCTTCATGAAAGCAAACACCTAAGAACATAATTTTGTGTCTTAACACTGCTTTATTGTACAAAACAAGCAATTTACTAAATTTGTCATTCTTCAGAAAAACAAATATATGCAGAGAGATACGGTTCTTGCTCACATTATAACTTCTCACTTGAAATCAGTATGACTTTTTCCTGTCCTTTTCAAAGGAATAGGACAAACCTCAAGTTTCAGTGTGCTTCTAAGTGAAGCCTTTAAATATTGTCTGTCTTCTTAGTACTACATGTGATGGAGTTAACAACTCCTCAAACACTGTTCTTTAGGCAGTGGCCTTTCAGTGATCAGTTCATGTCTGAGATCTTGGTTATTTCATCTTTCACATCCTTGATCTCAGTTTGAACTCTTGTTAGATTGGTCAATTTCTCATTCAGTAAAGCAATTTCCTTCTCCCGTCGTAGTACCTCTTCCACTAATCTTCCTATTCTCAATGTTAGGTCATTTATTAATGGCTCCAAGACAGCAAACTCCTTTTTAACTTTGTACATCTTGGGTTTTAAATCATTTGCAAATGTAACCGTCTTCAGAACTTTTGCTCTATCACCTTCAAGATTCAAAAGTCTATCTGAGTGCTTGTTAAAATCACTCCTTAACTCCGACAATGCCATCTTCATTTCCTCGATTTTTCTTGCATTACTGGATGCCAAACTTTGTATTTTTGTACTTCGGTCAATGCTACTGGTTAGGAGGTCACCTATATTTTTTACTGTCGCCTTTTCACCTTTTTCTACTTTATCTTCTAGTGCTTGCAAAGAATCTGTCAGTGCAGTCATTTCTGAGACTAGGCCTGAAATGCGCCTTATGTCAGTTTTTACTGTCACGATTGTCAATGTTATGTTTTTTGCTACAGAAGCTGCATTCTGTTCAATGCTTGAAACTGCATGATAAAGACTTGTTAAATTCTTCTGCAGCTCTTCTTGTTTTCTAATTATGCTGCTAGACCATGTTTTCATTGTATAAATATCTTCCTGCAGATGTTTAATGTGAGAAATTATTTCAAGATCTTCCAGCTGTTCCATTAAGTTCCAAGTCTTTTCACACTAGAAGGATACAAAAATATATCTAGCTTAACAACTCACATCATAATTCAAGCTATACTCTAATGAAATATCTTACTATTCTGATATTCAAATTGAATGCAGATCCTGTCTCTAGGAAATCAACTTCTGTTGAAACACAACCAAAATTTTTTTCCTGACAGTATACATAAAAAATGTTACTTTTTCTATTACAACAAAACATTACAGGAAGATGCTATATGAGTTTCCCATGTGACCTCTGAAAACACAAGTCCTCAAATGCAAAATTCTTCCATTTGTAGGAATTTTTGTAGTAAGTCTCCCTAAAAGCTACTTTAATGAGGGAACACTCATGCTATTGTTGGATTTTTGCCTGGATTTGCTAAGTTCACTTTTTTTTTTTTTTTTTTTTTAAATGACTGGTTCTTGGTTTTCAAATTTGAGAGGAAGAAAGGAGAACACCTGAGTGACACTATCCTGTTCAATCCCCCAAAAGTCAGGGCAGAACTTAGAGAGAAAAAAACACCAATTGGGCAAGCTGAAACACATTCTAAGAGGCTATAATTAGTTTCATACTAATCCTTTTCTGGACACTAACAGTAAAAATACCACCAAAGAAACAAAATACTTTCAGCTCTTCAAGAGTGTTGGTCATTCCTCACTAGCTCAGAACTGTCTGCTCAAAAGCAAAAGACCAAAACTGTGGAAAGCTGTGCTTGTTTCCTAGCTAATGCCCTCTATGGATGAGGATTTCCTGTTCAAATTCCTGTACCTTCAGCTTTCAATAATGTTGAGGTTGATAATCTAGCCACCCTTCCCCAAAAAGATACAACGTAGAAACACTATGACTGGAACACACTTCAAAGAAAAGTATTTAAAAAACATTTCTTTACCGAATAGTTTTTCTTAATGGGACACGAACACTAAAGTATTTACTCTGTACCTTTTCCAAAGGAGCAGTTTATTTTGAATTAGATTATGTACCAGGATCAGGCAGTTTACTACAATATGTTTTTATTTTGAATATGACTGTAAACAGACACAAATTTATACAGAAGCAATAAATATATGAAACTGATACAGCTTTATAACATTGAGAAATGCTGGTTTCATAGACTCTTGAATGGGCACTTTTACCTGTTAAGTGAAGATTTCTGTGGAGTTCTAGAGAAATGAATGTACAAAACCAGAACAATTTAAGTCTGATTAAGTCATAAATATTGTGGGTTCACACTGTCTCTACTAAGCAAACTACTTTCCTGAGTTCAGAAATACAAAATTGTCAAGATGTAAGTCTGTAGACAAAAAAATTATGTTGTCCCTGAGATCCAAATTTCAGTGAACAGCTATCAGGCCTATTAGGTAATACTATGTTATGCATAAGTAGATCAATGGATAAACTGGATATTCCCTGACCCCAAGTACATAACTCCGTGGATTTCATTAATTACTTTTGCAGCTCTTGGTTCAGCAAACTTTGGGAAACAGTGCAAGTGGCACTGTTAATTATTTTTTCCCTTTGAAACGCAAAGCAATACCAGACATATAATGTAGTACCTATCAGAGAGCATTCTACAGAAGAAAAGGTTAAAGTCCGTTTCTAACAGCACCACAACAAACAACCAACCCCCAAACTAACACAGTGACTGATGACACCAAACTTGTAAATTAAATGATGGAAGAAGAACTTAACAGGAATATCTGTCAATATGAACATTAGTCTATATGTAGTTCAGTGACTTCAATGGCAGAACAAAATGATACCAGTCATTTAAGTACATTTGAAAAGGCTGGAAATGAGGTCTAAGGAGGCTATTTGCATGGGGTCAAAGAAATAAATGATAGCACCAGCTGCTATATAAATATCAGCTGCTTATAAATGAGACAACGTTCCCAGTAGGGTGTTCTTCACGAGTGTTTTCTGTAATGCTGTAGTAGCTAAGCTTCAGCTGTTAAAAATATACTCAGTGCTTTCCTGCACATGTATGTAGATCCCAGCAGCATTTCTGACATTGAGAAGCACAAAACCATTATGGTATACAATACGTTATAGGAAGGTACATGTACCTCTACTGAGAAATAAGTGATTGTTCATTGTGTTACAAGTCCATGAAAATAATACAGAAAGTAGTAACAAAAGAAACTTAAGTAGTGAAAACTAAGTATGAACTAAAAATATTACCTTTTTTCCTTAAATCTAAACACTTTGCTTCAAATTCCTTAAATGAAAAGGATCTTTTAATAAATAAGATGAAAATAATCCTTAGTTTAAGAAAATACTTCCTTCCTTTTTCAATACAGTATGGCTTGCTCTCTAGCCTCTTTATTATAAGTTTGCCTTTCAGGCTAATCCAATGTCTATTTAAATTACGACAGTATTTAAGCTATCCTTAACATACACTGAAATCACATTATTTATAATAAAGTGCTTTTTCATCAATGAAAAACTTAAGTCCAAATTCACTTATCGCCATTCTGGTCATCTTCTAAGTTATAGCTTTCTAAAGCTACTTCTTTTGCTTTGGAAGATACTGTTATGTCAGGCACTACTGTTTCTAAACCTGCTATTTCATGCTGCACTTTTAACAAGCTGCCATTGTACTGAATGCCTTCAAGAACCTTTTGCATCGCCATTGTATCAGAAACCGTTTTCAACATATCATTTTCCACAGTGTACAGCTGTGTTGTCAAGTCCTGTATCTTTTTCTCCATACCTAGCAATTCACTCGACAGTCTAAGAATGGAGTGAATAGCATTTTCAATTGTTGGCAAATGGGTCTTGCACTCCTCAATTTTAGGTTCATAGTTTGCCAGTTTCTGATTCAGGTCTGTGTCCTTGGCTACCAGACTATTCTGTTCTTCTTCTAGCTTTTCAATTGCCTTTGCATGCAAGTCCAACTTGTGTTCAACTCTAGAGAATTCATCATCTTCTTGCTTTTTTACTGTTCTAATATTTCTGGCTGTACTGTCTTCCAAATCTTTTACTCTTTCTGAAAGGGATTTAATTCTTTGGTCGACTTCATTAATTTGAGAAGTAACTTCTGCATGTATGAACTTTGCTTCAGATTTTAAACTACTAGTGTTTGTGTTCATTTCATCCAAGCTTCTTCTCCAGGAATTCGTAACATTTTGGAACTTCTTATTAATGCTCTGCATCTTTAGAGAAAGAGTCTGTTCATTGTTCTGAATATCATTTATGATGTTATGAAGAGAAGATATTTCCTGCTCAAACTCAGTCATCACAGAGATGGATGAAGCAGCTTCTTGCAGGACACTTTCAGAAGACTCAAACTGCATTTATAACACAAAACAATGTCCGTGTCTACTTAACAAAAGTAAGAATAGAAAACCATTTCCATTTATTTAAGAGAGAATAAAGTCCCTTAAAAGCCACTGTACTTGTTACAAAGGTTCTATATGATTTTTTCATATTTCATCTTTAAAATATTGTTGATTATTCTAGCATGAAAAACTCATAGTAAAAAGATATGTCTTGAATACATAGAATATATGCCATTTTCTTTGTTGTCAATCCCTTGTTTCCATGTTTGTTTTTTGCATGTAGAATACAGTCAACACCATGCAACATTTTGCAATCTGAAGTATAGCATATAAATATCCAAATTACATCATGTATAAGTGACATCATTCTGAGATCAGTACTAAAACAAAATAACTGGCATAAGCCATGCTGTGCTCCCATCATTATCTGTAAGGTATCGGGGATAATTTGGCAGTCAGCACAAGTTTTCAACTTGATAATGTCACACATCATAATAGTTTTTTCATTGCTGTTTTATTTTCTTATCTATCACTTCATCATGTTTCCATATTATTAGAACAGGTCTACTGCACAAAAATGCCTGTACGTTTTCTTCAAATCAACATATGTTAGAATCATACACAAAAAGGTACTGGTAGAATGAAGTATGTGCATCAATGTTAAGTTCTTAAAAATAGTTTAAAAACTAATACTGAGATACAACCACTACATCTACATACTTGATGCCATGGATTTACACGTTTTGTCACATGAAATATTCTCTGAAGGCCTAGTCACAGGCAAGTAGAACATGTTATGAGAATTTATTTTAAAACAGAAAAATTAAAAACAAGGTAAAATGATGGTAAATGTTCACGAGAGATTTTCCAATTAGGATGTTAATGACTATTACCTTTTCAGAAATTAAGTTTACTTTATTTTCCACATCCAGGATTTTTTCAGCTTCTTGCTGTAAGAAATTGTACTTTCTTTCCATATCAGTAAATTGAACTGACTGCTGAAACAGAAACCTGCAAATTGCAAGTAAATAAACAGAAAACATAACTACATAATTAGCATATATTAAGTGTTCCAGGACCTGATTCACAGCAATATGTTACTGGAGGAATTTCTATTCGCAGAATTTGCTAGATCAATATGTAAGAGAAAAAAAATAATCAGGATTTAATTAAGTTGATCTGTCTAGATACTGGAGTTATATTTCAAAAGAGGTAGGAAAACAAGGAAACATCCATAGATGTCTTCATTTTTTACACTGTATTGCCATTCAAACAGAAAAAATGTCCAATCAGAGCACTGGCACAAGAAGACTGTGACATGCTCGTGATGCATTGCCTCACAATATATTTTATCGATGAAGTATTATTTAACTGGTGGAAATAAACCACACACACAAAAATTTGGACTTTTTTTACAAAACATCACAAAAGCATGCATAGAAGTCCTTGGATTTAGAAAGGCTGGTTAACGTTTAATTATAACCACCCAAGAACACATGGAGGCAAAGCTTGTATAGCTACTGTAATAACAATACCACACTGATGAGCAATTTATTTACAAAAACTCTGTTTCATTTCTACTGTCTACTTATGACCTGCTGAATGAGCCTTGTTGTACTTAGCAGCAGGTTAAGTTGCTCTTCACAGTTAGATGTAGTCTCTAAAGCAGCTATTTCAAATTCATGAGGAAGGCACCTTTTAAACTTTCAACATGATATAACAAATTGAGCTTCTATAATAACATACTGTGCACCCATATTTCCATCCTTGTGAGTATTTCTATTCTTTTCTTGATTCTTCTGGCTTTAACAAGTTTATGTAGTCCCTTAACCCAAGTCTGGCATTCAAATATAAATCATACAGCCTGTGACTGAATGCCATACAGAAGACAAAAGAAAATATTAAAACACGCTTTAGAGGGTTACCTACCAGGTCACCACCAGGCAAACAGCAAGGCAAATTATGGTCAAGCTTGTCCGTGAGTCCATCCAAAAGGAACTCTGATTATTGCTGGTCCTGGGATTTGCCAGCTTCCCATAAATACTGTGCTTCTCAACATTTTGTGAACCTTCATTGGTCTTAGATGAAGAAATACCTTTTTTCCTTTGCTTAATTTCAGACATTTTCTGAGTTTTAAAAGCAGAAGCAAAAGAGAGCTGGGATAAAAAACAAACCCTAAAAGGACTACTTAACTTCTAATCATCCTCAAACATAAACTTTCACCCTTAAAGTACAAAAATACACTCCTAAAAGTGTTTCCTTCAGTGTTTACTGTGTTTAAGTATGTGCATTTTTGTAAAACGTCACAAGACTTTCACTTTGCCTTCTATTGCACAGAGCCCAGCTTTCATATTTTCTAAAACAAAACTGACTTTTCAAGCTTTAGCTAATTTCACCTTTCCAGAAATATTTCCTCTGTTGTAAAATAAGTAATTTTAAAGAGATACTTAAATCACGAGATCATCTGCAATTTCACTAATGGACTTGTGTTTTACTTGTAGACTTTAAAAAAATAATTATTACCTACACCACATTAAAAGGGGAAAGTTATTTTTTTATTTAAAAAATGAAATTGCAAGTCAAGCTTTAATTTAGAATTAGTTCTACTGTAGTGATTTCACATTATCTGTAAAATCATAAACATCAGTTAATGAAAAGTCAATAATAGAAAAATTCAGAAGATTAATAAAATGATGCATGTAGACCAAAGAAAAGCTATAACTTGTTTTTAATAAAATTAAGGTCTGAATAGAAACAGGTAATCTTCAGCCTCATATTTTACCAACCAATTGGGAGTACGGAGTGGAATTTTTAAGCCTAAAATCTTCCACAGTACTGCTCAAAATAGACTTGATCCTTGGTGGATTTGGTTTAGCACAATTTGAGACAAAACTGTTGTGCTGCTTTTTGGATTACTTTGCAGTATTGCCGCTTAGTCACATATCAAAATATAAATATTTAGACACTTGGATTGTCACATACAAGAGTAAAAGATTGTTTAAAATCTAATCTGCCATAAGAGCAGGTAGTTTAGAGCTGTTTTGAGTCACAGTAAGGGGCAGCATTCTCTGAGTTTGAAGTACGTAGGAAAAAACTCCTCTTCATCTTAAAAACCCCAAAAACTAAAAAAACCGCTATTTTGTAACTTTTAAGACATCTTTGGGATTGAAAGCATTACGAAGTTAAAGAAAAAAAAAGAAATCTGAATGGTAGTTAGGGAAATAGCTCAACACAGGAAAAAAAAAAATAGAAAGGCAAGCCCTGCTTTAAAAGGACGGCTTCAGATTGCAGAGCGGCGCGGTATAGAGGGACGAACCGCAGCTTCACAGAGACCCTCCCGGGGCAGCCCTTCCCTCCCTCGGCCCCGGCCGCCCCAGCCCTGCCCGTGCTGGGTCCGGGACACCGAGCGTGACCTACCGCCTCCTGCCCTCCAGAGCCCCCACATCCCTGCCCTCCAGAGCCCCCACATCCCTGCCCTCCAGAGCCCCCACATCCCTGCCCGCAAACCCGAGCCCCCCGCCCGCCCCCGGGGCAGCCCTGCCGGACGCCGCCCCGCCCAGGCGACCCCCAGCACCCCGCGCCACCTTCCCCGCTCCCTCCGGCCGCTGCCGCGCTCCTCCGTTACCCCGGCGCTCCTCCGGCCTCAGCTGCAGGGCGGAGGGGCGGGGAGGGCCACGCTGCCCCGCAGGCACCACGTTTACAGGCCGTGGAGCCCCTCCCCTGGCCGGGGTCGGCGCATCGCCTCCCGGTGCGCCACGTCCGGCGCTCGCCCGCCCGCAGCCGCCGCGGGTAGGGGACCGATCCGGGCACACGCAGCCGGGCTCCGCGCAGCGCCGGGCTCTGTGGGGCGCGGGGCCGGGCAGCGAGCGGGCCGGCCCGGCCCTTCTCCGCCCCCGGGCCCGGAAGGAGGAAGCGTCGCGGCGCTGTCTCAGCGGTGGCTGCGGGAGCGGCGTCTCCGCGGGGCCAGGCGGGGCTCGCTGCCGGGGCTCCGCGCTGCCCACCAGGTGAGCGGCGTGGCGGAGAGGGAGGGACGGACCGGGCCAGGCCGGAGCGGGAAGGGTTTTGCCTGGGCGGGGTGGGGACGGCGGCGGCGGCAGGCGGGCGGTCTGAGCGCTCCGCTTTCTGTTTCCTTCTCCGGGCGGCTGATAACGGCGGCTCGGGTGTGAGCTAACCCTTTGTTGTGGGTGTTTGTGCGGCGATCTCTCCTGTATTCGCTTCACGTGTGGCTTCGTTATTGTTCTTGCCGATATTATTATTTGTTTGTTTGTTTGTTTGTTTTTTGTTTGTTTGTTTGTTTAAGCTGGACGTTTTTCGGCTGGGGAGCTTCCGCGTCCCCTTTACCTCAGCGTTGCGGTTGGGATTAAGATGGGGGGAAGGCTTTTCTGATCGCGTAATTTTCAGTGAAAGTAGGAAATTCTGTCGGTACGGCTGAAGAGGCGCTCCAGCACGGGCTTATCCAAAGGCAAATGTTCTACCCAGCTCCTGAAGGAGGGAGCAATCGGAAAAGGTAAATGCTTCTGCCTGCACCTGCGTAGTTGCTCCATGGAGGAGTTTGAACTTGCTTACGGATTTTTTTGTCGGGAGTGTGATCGGAGAGATCGTTTTGATCACTGGGGACTCTCGGGGGCAGCTGATCGATCCTGGAAAACTTTTGCGTTATAGACAATAGTTTTCACCTTCTGTTGTCTTCAGACATGTGGGTTTTTTATGACATAGAGGAAGAATGAAAGTTTATAGAGTTGTGTGTTAGATATTGATGAAGGTATAGTGCAGCCATTGGTAGTGTTGGGCGCTCCATCTTTCATCATGTGTACCATTCAAATGTGCTCGTATGGCTTCTTGAATTTGGAGGTAACAATTAGTTTATCTTGTGTGATGAGACCAGTCCTCTTTCTCATCCTGTTGTCCCAGTTGCATGATCCAAGGACTTAAAAAAATTGAGAGTTGTAGTGGGGAGGGAGAAAAGCTTTTCACAGAGACATTTAGCAAGTTTCTAGTATATGAAAATCTTGCAAAGTCTGTGGTTTTTTAGCTCTGCAAGTGTTCATAAACAAAAATTCATAGAAATGGGGGAAAGGACTCAGACTTTTTATTTTCAGAATTAGCAGTACGTATCAGGTACTGTACATTTTTTCCACTAATGCAGCTGTTTTGCTACTCTTTCTGACTTTAAAACCAAAATTCCTAAGCTATTTTAAAACTTCTTTGCTTATACTTGTAAATTATGTTCCCGTTCTTACTTGACTTCTTCCCCCCTCCCTTTTTCACATGGAAGGAACATGGATGTCAAGAGTAGAAATTATTTACTTATGAATCGCCAAGCATTGGAAAAAGACATCAAGACTTCTTATATTATGGATCATATGATTTCTGATGAAGTGCTAACATTACAGGAGGAAGAGAGAGTGAAACAGCAGGTAGAGTCATCTTTCACTGTTCCTTATCTTCCTTGTGTACTCACGTGCTTTGCTATCCTTTTTAAAAATAGTAATTTCTGTCTATCTAATTCCTGGATTCATCAAAAGAATCCAGCACACAGTTTTTATTGTGGGCTTCATAAGGTTAAGTTAAGGGCTTGGTCAAGTTAAAGGCTATTTCTCTAACTATAAATAATCTATAATTGACGGAGTGATAGATTAAATGATTTCTAAGGTCTCTTAGTTTTTCATAATACATCTTTTAATGTTCGGATTTTTTTCTAGAACACACAGAAGGAGCGAGCAGCCATGCTAATAAATATTATTCTTACAAAAGATAATAATTCATATAGATCCTTTTATAATGCACTGCTTCACGAAGGGTACAGAGATCTTGCTGCGCTTCTTCAGGATGGCATCCCTGCTGTCTCGTCTGGTAACAGAAAGAGTTCAATGGATGGAATGACTTCATATGGTCAGTGTAACTACAGCAATCCCTGTGCTTGAATGTAAAGACAAGTTGCCTTTTTAATTGCTTAGAAAGTGACTCTGTAATACCTATTCCAATGAAAAAGGGGCAGTTGGTACATTCGCTTGTTTTGATGTGTAGTACTCAGTATGTCTGTATTTCATGTCTTTAATATGGCAGGAGAGTTACAGCACTTACAGCTTTTGTAGGTCATCTTGAAAGTGTTCACATTAAGTAATGTTTATTTTAAAAGACGGGAAAACTGAAGCTCCTGTGGTTTTCTCTAATTAGTAACATTTTTGTTGTGAGATACTCTCATTTGTATATATTAAAGAAGTTGAATCTAACATAAAAAATTGTAACCTCCACAATTCTGACATTCATCTTGAGAAGTAATCTGTAATCTCTCAACCTACATTCCAACAGTTGATCTAATTATTAGGTTAGTTAATTCTTTCCACTAGATCTTTTAGTTACCCTACGTAAGTTCGTAACTTTTGCATGCCTTGTCATTGGTATCATCTTTGATTGACATGAAATAAATTTGTAGTTTCTAATGCCAAGCACCTTCTACCTGCCATATTTTGCTGACACTCTACACTTAGTAAGTGTCACAGGCATGTGGAGTTTTGGGAAATCTTACTCAGATAATAAAAGTTTATCATTGTAACATACCACTCCATATGGCTACAAAGTGGACAGATAAAGTGTACATTTTCTTTCCTGCTATAGCTTAAATCAGTGGAAGTCTTGCTTGGATCACAGTGCTGTGCTGTTAACTGCCAAGTAAAAGCCTTACACAACATCCTTATTTTCTGCTGGATCCATGGGGTGGTATCTTCTAGCTGAGAAAGTGACTTGGTTGTTGGGTATAGTAATGTTGAGCTCCTGTGTTGGCCACAGTTTCCACTGGAGCTGTTAATTATCTTTTAACTTCTAGGGATTGATGTAACTAACTTGCTTCATGCCTCCATTATTTATTAGAATACTGCTGTAGGTGGGGGGCTAGTTATCTGTTAAATAATATATTTCTAAAAAGCAATAGTTTTTCAGTATTTGGTGTTGTGAGCCCAGAAGTTTTTAGAGCATTTTTATGGGACATGAGGTGGGAAGGGAGCCCACTAGTTATTTTGGGTGAGGAGTTGTTTAGTTGGGTTTGAAGAGGCATCACTTTAGAATTCACTTTTTATTTTCATGTTTCTTGTTTCTAACTTTAGTGAAGACAGTTCTCTGCGAAGGAGGTGTACCACAGAGACCAGTTGTGTTTGTCACTCGACCGAAACTGGTAGATGCTATTAAAAAGAAGCTGTCCTGCTTGGGAAGTGATCCAGGCTGGGTCACAGTTTATGGAATGGCAGGCTGTGGGAAGACTGTTTTAACAGCAGAAGCTTTAAGGGATCATCAGCTCTTGGAAGGTACTTTTAGGAAAACATCCATATTTTAATAGAAATTACTGCAGGTATACACGTTTTGGACATATATGGTGCAATATCATATGTCATCTTGAAAGTGATTCAGGTTTCTAAATTCCTTAGTTGCTTCTGGAATATTTGCTTGCAACATACAAGGTTCATAACTGTTTAGTGCTCTGGGACCACTAGGTATTTTACTAGTTTATGGAAAAAGGTTTTGAATAGCTTTTCACCTTAGAATCTGCTTAGGTTTATGACAGTAGCTGCATCCTTAATTAACTTGAAATTGTTATTTCTGCTAATGAAAAATATCTAGTTACATTCCTTTTGGGCATTGCTGATAAAGTCTTTAGACTCTTCTCCTTACTGTGGGAGTTTAAAAAAATCTCGTTCTAACTTTTGCATAGATTTTAACAATGGCAGGCATTTGTGGAATGCTTACAGTAGTATCACCTTAGCTTAAAGCAGATCATAAATGAAACTATTTAATGGTATTTTTCTTATTTTATTTATTTTTCCCTACATAGAACACTAGGAGGAGAAAGCAGGACTTGGGCATTAAAAAAACATGATATAGGGATAGATACCACAGCATCTGCTGCTACAGCTGATTCTTCTGGATGTCTTCTTGATGACTGTTTTGGGATCATTTTTACATCCCAAACTCTCAACTTCTGTGGTAATACAGGGTTAAAAATGTAAATACTAAGTTAGACTTGCAGAAAGATGGACACAGAAGGGGTCATCAAAGGACAGGCAGGAAGACATGTACAAAGGAGGGACAATAGCATCAGTGGTGGTGTGAAATTCCTGTGGGAATTTGCCCTACAGAGCCTGTTCCTTTCAAAATAGATATAGTGATCTTGTAGAATCATCCTTCAGTGTTAATAGTAGAGTTGCAAGGATGGCTTGCAATAGACTTTAGAGGTTTATATTTTAATTAATGTTGAGTTCTTGCTGTCTATTTTAAGCTACTATTAAATATTTCTGATGTTAAATGTATAGCATGATTAATATTGCTTTTCTTGTTAGATTACTTTCCAGGAGGAGTTCACTGGATCTCTGTTGGAAAACAAGACAAAGCAGGCCTCCTAATAAAAC